GGGGGACCAGCAGGCATTGGGGGAGTCCCTGTTCCCCCGAGCACTACTACGAGTGACTAGAAATACCGGTCACAAGCTGGCAGAGGGTAGATTCAAATTAGACATCAGGAGGCGCTACTTCACGGTCAGGGCGTCTAGGATCTGGAACCAACTTCCAAGCTAAGTGGTGCTGGCTCCTACCCCAGGGGTCTTTAAGACAAGGCTAGACAATCACCTTGCTGGGGTCGTTTGGCCCCAGTACTCTTTCCCGCCATGGCAGGGGGTCGGACTTGATGATCTGCTCAGGTCCCTTCCGACCCTACTAACTATGAAACTAGGTATTTGTGCTATTGCAGTTATAGTTAGGAGGCTTTCTGGCTCTGCTGATGTCCTTGTCCTATTTCTTTTTCTCTTTGCTCATCAGAATGGATCACCCTGTTCTTCACGTCTCCTGGAATGATGCTGTGGCCTACTGCATGTGGGCAGGAAAACGATTACCCACTGAGGCCGAATGGGAGTATAGCTGCCGAGGGGGGCTTGAAAATAGGTAGCTGTCAAGATTTAATGTATACGCGTTTCTGAATTCCACGAATGTATATGAGAATATGGAACTTGCCATCCAGCGGAGAGCAGAATTTATATTCCCTTTATTTTTCTTCCCCAGTGCGTGCATGTGCAGTGCGTGAAATGCATATGAAGCCTGTACAGTCTTCTCTTTTTTAAAAAAGCTTCAATTGACTATAACGGTGGTTTTAAGACAGGAAGTATTGAAAGATGTAGAAGTATTGTTATTGAATTACAGATGACAAGATCTTGCCCAGGAAGCTGAAGCTTGACTTTCTTTGTTCATCCAAGATTGTCCAAAGGGTCAGAGCAACTGGCCAGGAATGTAGGAAGAGCAAGAGCTCTCTGTATTATTGTACAACAGCCAGAAAGCTAATGTGTCATAGTCACTTCTGTATACCCTAAATCATAGTCTCCTATAACAGCAGATTATGCTCTGGGCTGCTACGTGCTCTAGAAGAATTTTTGTCCCTTTTAAGGCTTATTAGATGATATGGGTTTATAAGCGTGGAGTTGGAATGTAGGTTGTATATATTCCATACATCCTGCTCCTCAGATGTAAACTCTTTACAGAGTATTTACTTTTTACACATTTCTTTTTTTCTTGTTGAAGCTCTTGCTTGAGAGAGAGATGAAGAGGGGATTTAGGTTTAATTTTCTAGGATCAGCTCTTCCTAAAATAGTTACTTTTTTTTTTTTAAAGCAGTAATGCTGCCCAGTTAGCCAACCATATAAGTAGAAAACATGGCCCAAGCACTTGCATACCTCTTTTTCTTTTTTTCTTTTTTTTTAATTTTTGTATGCCTGACATGAACTAGATTGGCAGCTTTTCACTGAGTAATTTATTAAAAATAGCTCTTTAGGACTTTCCTTCCCCTTTGTTCTTTCTGGTATCTCTAATCCAAAACCCAAGCTCTGTTTCTAACAGCTCTTCTCTTGTGTGTGTTTTTTGTTTTTTTTTTTTTTTTCCCCAACAGACTTTTCCCGTGGGGCAACAAGCTTCAGCCGAAAGGTCAGCATTACGCCAATATCTGGCAGGGAGAATTCCCAACAAATAATACTGGAGAGGATGGATACAAAGGAACTGCACCTGTAAGTGTCAGTCTCCTGACAGTTCAGACACTAATGCAGACCTATTAATATTGAAAAACACACTCAATATGGGGGTTTTCCACTTACCTTGGCCTCCTTTTTTTTCATCCTTAGACCTCCAAGCTCCAGTGTTTCATTCCAGGGAAGAACCTCTCTGAAAAGGGAGTCCTAAGTTTTGGTGGCTGTGCTGAGCTTTCAAAACTTATAACACAGAAATCCTTCCGAAATGCAAATTTGAAGCAAAAGATTACTTTCATACGATTTCTTTAGCTGTTCTAGGATTGAACTTTTTAATTTAATTTATTTATTTGGAGCTGGATGCAAAATTACTTGATGAGTGTGCCTTTGTTTGTCTTGGCAAATGAACCAAAAGCAAATTAGCAAAACGCCTTTTGACATTGCAGGGGTTTTGCCTGCCATCTTGGGAGCATGCTTCGTAACGCATGAAATTGTTGAAGGGAATTTATTTCTGTTTTGGAATGACACAGCATTTTTAAAGTTTATAAGGCCATGCAGCTGTAGCCTTTGCCTATAATAATTAGGGTTTGAACAGAAACTGAATTTAGCACTGAGTGCTTATTTAAGAAAAGTGCTGACTAGACAGGAAGTTGGCACAGGCCGGGTAGGAATGCCTCTCCATTTTCTTGATGGGGAGTCTGGTACTTAAAGTACAGATGTAAATTGGTGCTTACAGTGATTCATTGGAGTCTCATTCCAATAAATAATAATAATAATAATATAGTTATGAGCCTCTATGGAGGAAAGATAACAGGAGGGTCAGCAAGGAGGTAAACTGAGGTGCAACAGTAGTAGCTGAAGATGTGGTGGAGGGAAGCTTGGGAATATGTTTTCATTCAAAACTACCGGATTCGTACTGTAGAGTCCTCCCCGCTTCTTTCTCTCCCCCCTTCTTTCTCAAAATGTAGACTTATTTCTGCAGTAGTCAGTCCTAAAACCCCCTTCTCTTTTGTCCCCGAGTATATCTGAATGACTAACTTGGCTGTCTGATTCAGAGGTCTGAAACTCCTTTTGATTAAACAGGTTTATGGTATTGGTCTGTTTTGTGGTGGAAGTAACCTCTCACCATTATATGTTCCTGCAGGTTACTGCATTTCCTCCAAACCACTATGGCTTGTATAACATAGTGGGGAATGCCTGGGAATGGACATCTGACTGGTGGGCTGTTCATCATTCCCCACAGGAAACCCACAACCCGGTGAGTATTGTGTCAATATTGGACATACTGCAAGGTACCCTGTTGTGACTCGGTTTGACCTCACACTCCTATTGCCTAGTGGTAATCTCCACCACGTTTGGGGAGCAAGGGGGGAGGTCACGTCCAGTGAGTTGGGTTGTATTGCCCCTGCGAACTATGTTCCACAGGGTCGGCGTAGCATTAACTGGGCCTGTGTAATTGGCAAGGGCTGCTTTTAACTTGGCTGCTGACTATGGAAGTGAAGCAAGAATTGCAGCTGCTGTACATCTAAAACCAAGGACTTCCTTATTACTCCAAGATAGTGTAATGTATAATAGAAGTAAATGGAAAGATGTGTGAAACATGACAACGGCATGTATTCTGGTAGTAGCACAGCTCTTTTGGGTGAGGTATGGACACATTTTTTTAAGTCCCATTCCATGACTGGTTCATTCCATTTGTTGCAGTCAAGTAAAATAGTGAGTTTGCCCAAGTATCTCTCTCCAAAGTGCTCCTTCCCTCTCTAGAATGTCTGTATTTAGAGCAATTTTTCCTTTCTGTGCCTTTATGTCCAAAGTATACGCTCTGCTACCCTTTCGGGCCCCTTGATCTGGCTGCTTTTGTGTGCCTTCTAATCTTTCAGCAGACTCAAGTTCTTGCATCTCTTTCTCACCACCCTTCCCTCCCCTTCTGATATATCCAAGACTGCCAAACCTAGAAAAACAAGTTGCAGCCCTCTTAGAGTGCTTGCTTTGATCAGATACTGTTATCTGTAATAAGAGAATCAAGATCCACCCTCTTGGGGCAGAGGCTATCTCAGACTGCAGTAGGAGTTGAATCTAATCCACCCTAATCTCTTCCATGCAACATTTCAAAACTACAATATATCCTTTTTATGTTAATGTTCCTCCTTGGTTGGTTCCTGACACAACTGCAGCCCTTTATGATAGTGAAGTAATTAGCAACTTTAAAATTTTTTCTGAGGTATCTCACTCCTTTCAAGAGCAGAATATTATCAGCCAGCATGAGATCTGACTCATTTTAAGTAACTGGGTTTCACTGCTGCTTTCTGTCGTATCAGTGAGATCAGTGAATTTTCTGTGTAAGCCAAGAGTGTTAACAAATAACTCTTTTACTTGTGTCTTGTTTGATTTGGATGCAAACAAAAATTTTGTAGGTGCCTTAATCTTTGCTTCTGTTATTATATTGAACCTACTGAATAACTCAAACCTTTAGGGTTTTTCTTGTTTAAGCAATAAATCTTGAGTAGACGTTTTAAATTATTGCTAGTCAATCTCTTGCTGGCTTGGCAGTGGCCCAGGGGATCTGTGGTTTGCCTCAAGCTGCATCCTGTGCATCGCTCTGAACTAGTCCAGGGAACATCTGTTGTATAAATTACTAGAGACTTTTTTTTCTTCCCCTGACTACATTAACACTATTAATCTGTACAGCTAGAGTCTATGTGTGCTGTGCTGTCTGAATTTCTGATCTGCTGCATATTTCTGGTTCATGGTTTGCACTTGCAGTTGAGTTTTTGTGGGGTGTTCTTGGGTTTTTTTGGGTTTGTTATTTACTGGTGTTTAAGCTTCTTCCTTTTTTTTTTTTTTTTTCCCTTTATTGTGTAGAATCAGGGTTTGAATGGCCCTTTGAATCTTGTGGAGGTGGCAGAGAGAAGCTGCAGGGCAGCTCGGGCTCCCAGTGGCTGCAGCAAAAGGCGCCCCAGCAGCGACGAGGGGGAGAGAGGCCACTCTTCCCCCACGCTAAACAGCAGTTTCTGCCTGGCTGCTGGGGAGGCTCAGCCCCTCAGGCTCATCTGTCACTTGAACCCTGTGTAGAATCCAAGCATTCTCTCTTTCTCTTCCATTTAGTGCAACTTGTGACGATTACTGCCTTGTTCTTTGCGTTGCAGAAGACAAGCATTGTTCTTAAACCTGAAATTGTCACTGCCGGGGGTAGCAAGAAGAGATTGAATAGAATGAGTTCAGATGAAGAAAAGTAAGGCTAATTGGGGAAGGGTGGTTCAAGTCTGCTTGGTCAGCTGAAAAAGCCAATGGACCATCTATCTGTTTTGTCCATTGAGCTTTGATTTCCATCTGCCCCCAAGACCTGCATGCTGGGTCTCTCTGGCTTTGCATGGCCCCTGGACTCCAGGGGTGTTTGTACACATGCTCGGGGAGTGCTGTAGGAGAAGAGCACTTATTTAAGCACCTGAGGAGTCTTGTGTATCAGCATCCCTGCTCTTAAAAACGGTGACGAGGGTGGTTTTCACTAAAACTTGTCCAATGAGTTTTAGTTAAAGCACCCCCACCACCATTTTTAAGTGTGGGAATGCTGATAATGAGATGCTAGAGTCTGCTGAAGCATGGCGATTAACATGCTCCAGCTGACTCTATTAATTGAGTCTGCTTTGATGTGCTGTAATTACAACTTGTTGGAGCAGCCTCGCTGCTCGTGTAGAGGTGCCCCAAGTGGGTAGATCTTTGAGTTCCTTATTAAGGGATGAGAGAGAGTTTTCTCTTTCTTCCACTTAGTGGCCAACAATATTTATCTCTTTGCAAAAGGATGGGAATGAGCACGGGGTTAGCAGTCCTAGTCTCCTTCCTAGTCTCCTTCATCTGCTATTTAGCAACAGGTACTTTAGAATCTGTAAGTTAACTCATAGTTTCCTGTGAAAAAGGTATCCACAGTTTTTTACAGGTAAAGTAAGGCACACAGTTTTTTTTTTTTTTTTTTAAGTGACTTGTAGGTTTGTGATTTAATACTAGGTATAATCTCAGGAGACCCAACTCCTAAACCACTGCTCGTTACTAGACCTCTTACCCTTCCATCTGCATTTGCTAGCATAACTTTCTGGTGCATGTGTGTTCGTTGTGTTTTGGGTTTTTTAAAAACTTTTCTGGTTTTATTCATAAATGCTCACATGTGGTATCTTCCCCCCCGCTCCCCCCTGTCACTGCTCTGCCTCACTGTTCTATGCTTTGTGCAGGTACTTCTTGAAACTTTGCTTTCTTCCATGCCCACAATTTTTGAGGCTTATTGCTCCCAGTATATCTTCTCTGTAGGAGTTAATTCTTCAGCCTGAACATGTGGTGTTAGCACTGCAGGTGCCCCCCTCCAACCTGTGACTGATGGAACAGCTTGAATCACTTCCTCCTCTGCTGCTTTCTTCAGCCTGCACAATTATTCAAAACAACTTCAACTTAGCATTTTTTTGTCAGTCACCTGAAAAAGGTAGTGAACCTGCACAAAACACATTAATTGGCATTGAACATGCTCCACTGAATACACCAACAATTGTGCTGTGAAGTTGGAGAACCTCTCCCCTCCCAAAATACTGCAGTCCAGATTTATAGCAGGTTGCACAGATAAAACTCTTCATGCTTTTCCTGTTCTCATTTTTCAGAACAAAAGCAACTGCCTTGCCATACCCAGAATATTCCACTAAGGAAAACTGGGGTGTGCTTTCACAAGGCAAATGCATGTTGGGAACTCAAATTGCACACGTGGGGGGGGGGCGGGGAGAAAAACTCGCTGAAGACTCTTGCCAGTCGGTGAATTGGTGACTGCATGCAATTGTTTATTGTCAGTATAGGACTTTCTTTTTCCCCTGGGCAGCTAAATGATTTGCATTCATTGCAGTGCTATCTTGGAAATCTTCTATAAAAATCCTGCCCCAAAATGCAAATTAACCCAGTGCTGCAATTCTATATTTCAGAGGGTTTTAAAAATGTTTGTTGTTTACAGCTTTGTACTGAAATATGCTGTTCTCATTGGGAAAAGACACTAAGTAAATAATGTAAGTGGAGGTTAGTTTTTTAACCTCTACCTAGACGACAACTGTGTGTGGAATATAATGATCTCCTAGCTTCAAAGGTGTTAAAAGAAACCGCTCCAAATATAGCACACTTTGCAACTACTAGGGCTCTTTTGAATGCGAGGGAGGGGCTGATGGCAGTTTCTTTATACCGGAGTTTTGTAAGCAGTTATTCTTGCATGACTATGTCTAGAAGACGGTGTATGTTGAAAGTCATGGAGATTCTGGCATCTAAGAATGACTGTCTAAATTTAAACTTAATACATATGCACATATGGTGAGGTCTCTCAGAAGTACTTGGCTGATTCTTCTCCCATCTGATACTGGTGATCTTAAAAAAAGAAAAGGAGGGGTGGGGGGGGAACTGCCAGCCTTCTTCTGGGAAGCTATTAAATAATATCCATAGTCACAGAAGGTAGTAAATCATGAAACCACTCCTATCTTCAACATTCACAGTTTGTTCTCAGAAATAGGCAAACTTCCTTTCAGCCCTCTAAATTCAAACATGAAGCCAACCCCAGCTGGGACCTAATGAAAGGTTGGGCATTGAGTGTACTGGAGGCCAAACTTGGGAACAGTAGAGCATCAAACACCAGTTGGCCTGCAGTAGTCTCTTAAAGAGCAATAACTGTGCTCTTTCTTTATGAAAAGCACCAAATGGATGAATTTATTCCAAGTGGATTGAATTTTTTTTGTGGGGGTGGGGAATAGAGGGTGCATCTACACAAGATGCTACGTCGCTGTAGCATCTGCTGGCACTAACCATGACACTGCCACTGCTGTGCAGTAGCAACTAGCTACTGCACAGTAGAGTCAAAAATTACCCGTGGACCACCAGGACTGGGAGTGCCAGTGGGTACTGAACAATCATTTGGTACTTGCTAAATCAAGTACTAAATGACTGCTCATGGTACCAACTGCGCAGTCAGGGGCATGTGTAGATGTGCCTGGTGTGTCCTGCAACAGGAGAAGGTCACTAGTCCATACACCTAGCAGTCCTATAAGCCCCATTTTGCCCAGGCAGCTTGCTTCTGCTATGGGCCCTAAGGATGGCCAGGAGCGTTAAGCATTGATATCAGTTCATACTCCTTTCTTAGTATCTCTGTTCAAGGATCAGGCCTTGAACAGAGATGCTAAGTAGCTGAGTAGTTTAAATTACAAAGCTACTGGGAATTAGGAGCAGCTTTGCAATTGGGGCATATGTCTA